CAATATCACGGCGGGGGACACCAGAAATGGGCTTCACACATTGTACCCATGTCGGGAATCGAACCCGGGTCTTCGGCGTGACGAGCGAACGCTTTAACCACTAGGCTACCCGACCGCCCCTTTTTGCATGGAACAACTCGACATGGTTAATATCTTTCAGTATATTTCTATATGACTTAAAACATGGTTTTGTTCCTTTAATATGTGTTACGTAAATGTGTCTTTTTGCAAATATCAATATGTGATTTAATATGCTGTTTGTACCTCCAAAATAGATAGCTTGTTTTGTAATAATAACATGACAGAAAATAACATTTATGAAGGTATTAAATTCGTCCAAGAATTCTTTAACACAAGAACATTTTAAATATACATGAGCGATGTTTTCACTGTCTTAATTGCCAAATGAACATAGGTTGTTGTCAACCAAGTTCATCGTTAACAATTCCTTTTTAGTGTATATAATTTTGTGTAGGAATTTGAATTTGAATGTTAATCGTTTTATATTTATTGTAGATTTTCTTCATTGTAAAAATACATATTTCCAATGAATTTGATTGTTTGATTCGTGTTCCAACTTCTCACAGATTTCTGGAAAGTTAGATGATAAAATAAAGTTATCATAATATACTAGAACCTATGTTTGTATTTAGTGAGTGAGTATGATTTTACGCCACTTTTGGCAATATTCCAATAATATCACGGCGGGGGACACCAGAAATGGGCTTCACACATTGTACCCATGTCGGGAATCGAACCCGGGTCTTCGGCGTGACGAGCGAACGCTTTAACCACTAGGCTACCCGAACGCCCCTTGTATTAAGTAAATCAAGCCATGGAGACGATATGTTCAATGGCATTGTGTTTAGATTATTTGCATCGTGCACAAGATCTTTCCATGGCTTAGGATGGCCGGCCGTTCGAGTCACGTAAATCCTTTACATGGCAAGACCGCCTCCGTGGTCTAGTGGTAGAGCGTCCGCCCGGAGAGCGGAAGGTCCGGGGTTCGATCCCAGACCGCGTCATACCAAAAGAAGTTAAAAGATGGTACTTGTTGTTACCCTGTCTGGCGTTCGGCATTACGGGCTAAAACAAAGACTGGTCGGCTCGGAGTCAGTATACTGTCTGAGTGGGGTATTCATGTTAAACTGCGGAATGGTATCTGAGTGAGCTAGCACTATAAATCGGCATCAGTCCGGACTAGTAAAAACAGCCACACAAACACACACACGTACATGCACGTCGCTATATAAGTGCAATAATCTTGGACGCGACGGTAAACCCCATTTCACCTCACCTTTACATGGCAAATACCCCTTGTACACCAATTTATAATAATCAAATCGGAAATTTACATTTGCATAAAAATTTCATCAACATCGTTTTCGTTGATTTCGTGCGTTTTTATATATTTGATCCAAGCGTGGGAGAGGGAGTTAAAGCGTTGGCTCGTCACACTGAAGATCCGGGTTCGATTCCAGGCATGGGTTCAATGTGTGAAACCCATTTCTGGGGTCCCCCGCCGTGATATTGCTCGAATATTGCTAAAAGCGCCGTAAAACCATACTCATTCGTTCATGTTAATTTTGAGAATGCGGTTTATATATTTCTGGCATAAATTGTTGTTTTCGCAAGTAAAGCGTTTAAAATAATATTTTTCGATATTTCTAAAGCATGTGTATTCAAAGGCTTGGAAAAAAAACCATGAAACGCTTCAATTCTTAGTTTTTCAACTAATTTTTATTTGCCTCGGTACAAATGCGCAAATGGAACAACAACAATAGTTCGACAACACTGCGCAATTACCCAAATCTGTTTCAGCGTGCATGCATGAACGTCTCTAACGTTAAAGGCGATTATTCTTGTCGTAAGAGGTGACTAACGGGATCGGGTGGTCAGGCTCGCTGACTTGGTTGATGATGCATGTCACGAGGCGGTCGGGTAGCCTAGTGGTTAAAGCGTTCGCACGTCAGACCAGGTTTCGATTCCCGACGAGGATACAATGTATGAAGCACATTTCTGGTGTCCCCCGCCGTGATATTGCTGGAATTTTGCTAAAAGCGGCGTAAAATCAAACCTTCTCACTCACTGATGCATGCCCTAGTATGCCAATTACATGGATCGATGCTCATGATGTAAATCTTTTGATTGTCTGGTCCAGACTCGATTATTTTCAGACCGCCGTCAAATAACTGTTATATTGCTGAGTGCAGCGTTAAACAACAAACAAACATACAAATAAACGTGTTGACAGATCTTTATTTACTGATTGAATGCAGGAATCGTGAACATATGTATGTTACAGTCAATGTGGAAATATGACGTAAATTTTCACGTTGGCATCTTACAAACGCGAAAATAATTCTGTCATTTTACAATTATTTTTCCCTTTATTATATTATGATAACGAATTGCAAACTTTTTTATGATCTATTTCATCACCCAGTGACTGAAAATGAGAGGAAAGAAAACGAAAGTCAATGTATATTCTTTACATATTCTTTGCTTCTAATCCGAGAATTATTGCGATGTTTTAAAGCCCTATTTAAGTTTTAATAACTTAATCAGACGAAAACCTAATTGTAAATCTACTGAAATATTTTGGCGTTTTGTTTACTGCCTTGAATATTTCAGTCACTCTACACATATGCATATGACGGTAACATCGACCTGTGCTCTACTGCTGTGCAGAAAAGGGAGCACTTATTGTAATGTTTACGGCATAGAACAATATGATTTGATTTGATTTGTTTTGTTTGTTTGTTGTTTAACGCCGCTCTCAGCAATATTTCAACTATCTGACGGCGGTCTGTAAATAATTGAGTCCAGACCAGAAAATCCAGTGATTTTTATCACAGCTTCGCCAGTGAGTCTGCTTTTTCATTTTTATGAATATCTATGTGAGAGGGGATCCAACACACCTCCACATGTTGCCCTTGGTCCGATAGTTCAGCTGTATATTCGTATAGAATATTGTTGACTGTATTTGGTCTGGAGTTTGAGTTTCTGCCACTGATGGCTGGAAGTGCACTTAGCGAGTGTGATAGGACGTCTGCCTTTGCTTCCGGAAGTTCCGGTATGAGTTTGAGTGAATAAAAGCTGGGCGGTACATTTGTATGTAATCAACCTATTAGTTTATTAATCACGACAATTATAACACCTGTCACGTAAATAAACTAGCTCTCTCTATCTATCTGACAAACAAGTGCGCGTTCGTTAGTAGGCCTAATAATTGCATTATTCAAAAGGAGATTAGAAAGTCACCAGCTGTGATTATTGAAGGAAATGCAGCCTTTGTCTGACCAGACCTTTGTTAACTGAATAATCACACTGAACAATGCTTGGTGATATTACAATTACGATAATGAAGCTGCAGGGACATGCCGAGCTTCCTTCCATCTCCACGTGGGGAATCCAACCTCACATGGTTATAAGCTAGTTGATTTATGTAAAAGCAATAATATATACATTGTCAATGGCCGAGTTGGGCATGGCAAAGTTACTTGTAAAGGAGTAGTCTTGGTTGATTAAGCTGTAGCGAGTGCTAATGTTTTCCCAACAAAAGAAGATTTCGAGGTCCTAGATTTTGAACCATTGTTCTCAGATATCTACTCACCTGGCGCTGTAACACTAACAAAAATCATCGATAAGCCTTTTTCACCCCAAGCGTTAAGAGAAGAGAACGACACAAACCCCCACCTAAAAATGAAACAGGACGCTTGCTTCTGAATATGTCGACTAAACTGACAAAGAAGTTAAACAATCCATTGAATCTGAGCTGCTTTGGGGTGATTATTGTAATCCAATTGATGTGATAACAAACGTAAATGAGTGATGCGCTTCTTCATACAGCTGGCAAAGTGTTCGGATTTGTTAAAAGAGTCAGAGAAAATCAACATCCCACAAGCGCTCTAAAATTTAGTTTGGTAAACATTGTAAAATCGCCCGTGGAAAAAGGGGATATTTCTGAGGCCAAGAGATATTTCAAAAGTCAAACATTCCAAAATAAACAACGACTAGTTAATGCAAGTAAAAATTATAAAAACTGCATTAATAAATTTTCAAATATGCATTTAAAAAAACTTCAAGGCAATTTATATAATGTTGAAAGAAATGACCCACGTTCATTTTGGAAACTTCTTAAGCAAAGGCAGTCTGGTGATGAAAACCTACCAGGTAGTGAATAATTATTCAGCTTTTTAAATCTTTAAATGAAGTTTCGGGAGATGACGACCTTGGTATTGATAATCTCCGTGAAGTGAACATTTTAGAAAACACAATACTTAATGCAACTATAACAAGAGGTGAAATTATAAACTGTGTGCAGAATTTAAAAAATAACAAAGCTGCTGGTCCTGATAATATAATTAAAGAATACATTTCAAACATCATTGGTGTCTTTATAGATATTTATATCAAACATTTTAACATGGTTCTTGATATGGTTTGTAGGTGTAATCAAACCCATTTAAGGGTAAAGGTGACCCACAAAACCCCGAAATTTACACCCCTATCAACCTGCTAGGCTGTTTGGGTAAACTATTTACAGCAGTTTTAAAATAACCGCTTGCAAACTCTCATCGAAACGAACTCCATATTGTCGGAATCTCAGGCAGGTTTCAGAAAGGGTTATTCTACCAGTGATCACATTGTTGCTCTATATAACCTCATGGAGATATGAAAAGCTAGGAAAAAGAAATTATTTTGTGCGTTTGTAGATTTTCAAAAAGCATTTGAAACAGTTTGGCGATCAGAACTTTGGCCCAAACAGTGTAAAGGTGTTCAATTTAAACCAGATGAATTATGTAGAGGTGTTCAATTTAAACCAGATGAATGTGTAAAGGTGTTCAATTTAAACCAGATGAATTATGTAAAGGTGTTCAATTTAAACCAGATGAATTCTATGATCGATTCGAAAATATTATCACAATATTTGTATTACTGTACGCAGAAGATGCAGTGCTATTGGCCACAAAAGCTTAGGATGTTAGAATTATTTAATAATTGACCTCTCCGTCGAATTTTATTGACAGCTGACTTGACCAATCAGCGAGTCGCTCTGACAGTATGCGCACGCATACTTTGACTGCAGTCACTTCCTTAGACAAACAAGCTTGTCTAAGTTTGGCTGGCGCGCTTTACGCAATCGTTTCTATCGGCCAACTTATCCAGCAAAAATGGTAAAGAGGTGCAGTCACGGTCTGTGCAATAGTGATGACAGGTACCCTGAACGACTAGGAGGCGGTGTCAAGTTCATACCGTTTCCAAAACCGAAGACTGACTACGAGAAGTGCCTACGGTGGATAAAACTTTGTGGACGACCGCATAATCAGCTCAATCCGTCAAACATCAACTGCAATAGATATGTTTGCACAAAGGTACATTTCCCGTACATTTAATCAATTTTATAGATGGATACGTCATTAAGTTTTGTTTGGCAGCGATCAGTTTTCCTATTACCATTGGCCAAGTAGTGAATATAAATTACCTGGGTTGGTAATCGTCGAACATATAGATCTATGTATATATAAAGATTTCACAAACTTATTGAAAACTTTTGAATTCATTGTGTTTATATACATTATACATCGGTTTATCCACATAATAGAGGTTATTGTGTTAAATTTGATTTTCAGCACTTCGTCAACAATTTTCCATGTGAGCAACATCCAGACCCATTACCTGCCAATCACTTTGACAAGGCTGGACTAAGTAGGAAGCCCCCTACAAAAAGAAAGCCCACCCATGATGGAACTCAGAGGTTTGTGTACACTGTAAGAAGCCATTGATTGGTACATTACAAGTTGATTATCCATTTACATGATCAAATACTTTGTAAAATTTCTACAGTTGATTCAGTTGTTCCATCTTGTTCACATAAGTTCATAAATAAGATTTTCTCATCTTGTAATGAATACTGCCCAGGGGAAATGTATGTTGTTAATTTGGATGAAATAAAAATAAATGAGTTCTGCATGTAACAAACAATAAATAGGGTAGGTAGGTATGGCTTTTGTTCTTTAAATTGTTTGTTCATTTAATAAAAGTTTGATAACGATATTGGCTAATGTGAAAATTCAGTGTTAGCAAAAAAGTTGGAGAGATTGGAAGGTAATACAAGTTGAGATAGCACACGTGGAAATTTATTAGATTTGTTGAGTGTCTTTAGTTCTCGTTAACACCCAGTATGATGTGAAATTGTTTGATAAGGTAATGTATGAATCCAGTCAGCACCTATATGGGTCACACTTTATCCTCTTTTGCTATTAAACATTGTTATATGACACTCATGCACATTATACTGTATGAACTCAAATAACAGACACACAAATATTTGATATTGGTTTAATTTTATCTTCTCAAACAACAATCAATAGTAACTTTGTAAAAGTTTATAGTTTCAAATATTGTTGCAGATTGGAGCCAACAGAAAAGATAGCTAAATCTGACAATCCATCTTTACCTTCTGCCACTGCTGTGCATACAAGTTCAACCGTGACAACTGATTGTCAGACTGACTCATGCTGTAAGTGTACACACATTATGAGAACTTGGCAAACACAGTACTGGTTTAACATGCTGAAAGTAAAAAGCACTCAATTCATCCAACATTTGTTGCATAAACACAGGAAGAGGAAAAATTCTTTGTATGAAAAGGTCTTTTTTTGTGAAAACAACAAAGTCACAAAAGGCAGCACCTGAAATCATGAGTTGTCCTTGAACTTGATAAAAATATTCATGATAATGGGGAGCTTTCTTGATTGAAATTATCCCATCTGTATTTTGCAAGCAGAACTTTGGCAATAAACAGCAGGCATCACTAATGGACATGTCTCGGGCTGAGTATGGACATTTTACTTCTATGATGCCTGTAATACCATCTTCACACACCTTCCCATCTGGTGTAGCTCCTAGAAATGGAAACTTTCTGTTCACTACAAGACCACAATCATGAACATGATTACCTGACTGCTTAATGTATTTTTCAATAGCTTGTCTTTCATTACTTTTGCCATAGCTGGTTGCAACAGATGTGAAAGCCTTTTCATTTATGATGTTGTTGATGAACTTTTCTGTGATGGTTTTTCTTTTGAGTATGATCCCAAATGTGGATGCTGTCAGCCTGTGTTTCCTGGCTTGAAACCACATCTGACTGTTGGTCTGGTCCCTTGTTTGTTGCTCTAACTGCTCACATTGCTCCTGTGTCATATCCTCGATGTGGTACTCTGCTCCAAGGGTCACTGTGGCGGCCTGGGGAAAAGCTAGATTGCCACATCTAGTGCCAACAGATTTTATTGGCTCAGTCTCAAAAAACTTTGCCTGAAATAAAAAGCAAACTGACATGAGATCAAATTAACAATGTTTGTTTGTCATTACATTATAACATCAATTTGTATTTGGCAGAATTGATTTCCTTTTACTTTTAAATGTTTCAGGGATCGACCCAATGGATATGATAGTACTTATTGCAGAGAATGAGAGCCTGAAGAGAGATCTGTCAAAATGCAGTTTGGAGCTTATAGATGTCAAGAGAAAGCTGAAAGATACTGAAGAGGAATGTGAACATTTAAAAAAGCAAAAAACATTTACTTTTTCAATTGATGTTATGTTGGAAGATGCTAAGCTTATTCGGTACTACACAGGCTTTAACAAAGAAACCTTCATTGCCATATTTAGGTATTTAGTTCCAGATCCTCCATCATGTCCTCTTAGGTATCTTGGGAAAGGAAAATTGTCCAAAATTAGGAAACTTTCCCTTGAAAATCAGTTGTTTTTGACGCTTTGCAAACTGAGGAATAATTTTCACTTGCAGGATTTGGCTTTTAGATTTGCAATTACTCAGCAAGTTGCAGGTGTTATCTTCAATTCCTGGATAAATTACATGTTTCTCAGGTTTGGGGAGTTAGGCATCTGGCCCCACAGAGATGTCTTGTATGAAAGGATGCCAGAGGACTATAGGAAAGATTTTCCAAGTACATTTCCTATTGTTGACTGCACAGAAATTAGAATTGAAAAACCATCTTCACTAAATACCCAAACTCAAACGTACAGCAATTACAAGTCCACTAACACATTGAAGGCATTAGTGGCTGTAGATCCGAGAGGCTCAGTTATTTTTATTTCTATGCTGTTCTCAGGGGCAATGTCAGACAAAGAAATATTTAAGCAGTCAGGTTTTCAGTCAACACTGATTGATCTTCTTGAGATTGGTTATCTGGAGGAGGGAGATGGAATTATGGCAGATAAGGGGTTTGATATTGAAGCAGAAGTAGAGAAAACAGGGCTTCGACTGAATATACCACCATTTGCTAAGTCTGGTGTACAGATGAGCCAAAAAGATGTCATCTTCACTCAGAAGATTGCTGGGCACAGAGTACATGTCGAAAGAGCTATACGCAGAATCAAAAGTTTCAAGATTCTCAGTGGCCGCATTCAGCTATCAATGATGTCTGCAATTGATCAAATTTGGTATGTTTGCTCTTTTCTGACAAATTTCATGCCTCCTTGTATCAGAAAGAAGTAAATTGAGACACAGTACATGTACCGTATATCGCTGTGTATAAGGCGACCCCACGTATAAGACGACCCCCCTGTACACGCCTTAAAAATCAACCCAAAATCCTATACTCCGTGTATAAGGCGACCGGGAATGAAACACATCTCAAGTCTGACTGATATAGAAGATTTAACGTGCGCTTTCCGACTGTAGCGTATTTCGCACACGGACATCACAAGTTAGTTTGTTAGTTAGTTACTTTTGAGATTTACCGTGCGCTTTCCGACTGATGCGTATTTCGCACACATCACGAGTGCGCACACAAACCTTATATATGCAATAAAAATATGTTTATCTTGCGTTGGTTTTTTTCTACAATGGTAGTTGTCTTTGCAACACTGCAAAATTCTTTTTAGACCTATCGTGTTATCAGGCTAAATTTGTGTTTGTACTGCATACCAAGGTTCTGCTGTCACATGTTTGTTAGCATTGTTTGAGCTTGGGCCAAAGGTCAGATTCACAGGTAGCAATGTAAAATTACATAATTTACATAATAATAATAATAAAATTCAAAATTTAATCATGATAATACTTTTGTCAAAACTGAACCACTTGAACTATAATTTTATGTGACCTGTCACCTATTCAATTACATGAAGTGATTTTAATCCAAACTTCCTTTCGCCCAAACACATGAAGTAATTTTAATTCCAGCTTTTCTTTTCTAGATAGGACATTGTCCCTGATTTCAACTGAGCTTATAAACATGTAGCTTTAGCCCTTTTTACCATGATTTACTGTTACTATAGTGTTAAAACCTGACAGTGTACAATGGGACCTTGATAATGGTCACACCATGTGAAAAACATCCTCCAGTAATAATGATATAGAGTAAAATTACTGTACAAAATTCTGAATTGCTGTATTAGGAGTTTCACTATAATAGCATCCTCAATATCTCTGGTGGCTACCCCTTAATAACAAACATGTTAAGGTTGGATATATCCAGTCATTTCCCATTGAGTTACAACATGCTTGGCAGGTAAAGGCTGTGGTCAAATTCTAACAAACACTAAAACCATTGCTAAACTTACATGCGTTGACAAGCCACTGCCAACAGGGACTGGTCCAACATGAGTGTGCACAGTTTTTGAGGGGTTGCAGACAAGGTATCCTATGGGAAGGTCTTTTAGGCCTTGAAGATGTTGCATATCTGTCTCCTCGACCCGTACATTTCTGTAACATGTAATTGTCTATCTCACTTTCTTAATCCAGAGAACTTATTGTGCAAACATGAAAGCTCACTTCCTTGTTGAAGTTTATGCCGTTGATGAATTCAAATGTGTCTTGTTGAACATGTTATACATTTAAGAGTGATAAGCATGATAATTATCATATTATGGCATCTATTTCCATTGAACATGATGATTATCATTTAGTTTATATCAATGTATATTTAGTTTATATAATCAAAGTTTATTTAGTTTATGTAAATGTTTATGATACATGTCATACCAGTGAATTTTATGTATACATTTGTTTGCTTTGAGCGAAATAAGGAAAGCATAATTCATGAAATAAATCAGTATAAATCAAGTACCTGCATTCTGTCAATGTATTAGTAACTGGTTTCTTTTTCCTGTCTGGTTTGGGGTTGACAAAAACTAAATGTGGTACATCGCCTGCTTCAACTTTGGTACACCGAGGTTTGCTCCACTGTTCTGGAAGTGATGTACAGGACAGCTTTGATGGAACCTCAGTGAAACCCATCAACTGCCATTGCTGCAGTGCTATGATGAATCCAATGACATGGGAACATGATCCACTAGCTCTGAAAAAATTAGAGAAATTCAAAATTGATGCTAAATAAGATTGCAAGTTTTTATAATCCATACAAATAAAACACTAAAAAGTTAGTTAAATATTTGACAAATATATCAGATGTTAATATTGATCCTTTTTTTTAACAGGTGATAAGGTGTTTTTGATATGGAAAACTAAGAGTCCAGTACTGTAAATTAACACACAATAACTTTTCTTTCGTTAGGAGATATGAGTGAAATGTCTTTACACAAATTCATTATCATGATCATTACCTCCAGATGTAACTATTATCCTGTTAGCCTCAGCATATTGAACGAATGTATCACGAAATTAGGGAACTTGATACGTTTGTATCAACAATAAATATTACGGGATAATGCATCTTGTCAACAGTAACGAGGCAAACCTGGTTGTAAACGGTCAACTTACCCTGCTTGACATGAACAATAGGCATAGGATATTTCTTCAGGCTTGATGTCAACATGAACAGCATGGGGCGGCTCGTTTTTCTTCATACTGCGATAGCACTTGGCACTACTGACGATGGTGTCATTCTCTCCGTAAGTCATGCTTACTGAATGGAAGTACCCCTCACTAAAAAACTTAAACCCTTGCTGTTTACTTTTCATTGAAAATGACACCTGTTTCATAAAAGAAGTCGACAAATCAGCCTGTAAATCCGCCAACGAAGCTCTCCGAGTTTGACAAGAGGCAGCCATGTTGTTTATAAGTTTGTCTAAGGAAGTGGTGGAAAGGTCGTGACCTCTTTGAAGGCGTGGCTTAAGGTTCCATACGGAGAGGTCAATTATTGTATACACTGGAGGCTTAATGGAGGCTTAATGGAGGCTTACTACCAAAACTAAAATATTAATATTTGGTGGATCAAACAATGATTATAAACATAATTCTAAATTTGGTCATGATGTTTTAGATAAAGTTGATTCCTATAACTACCTTGGTGTTATCTTTAAACAAATTCAAAATTCACTTTGACAGAGAAAAAGCTAATAGAACAAGCAACGAAAGCTATGTTCTATGTTTTATGCCGAGGATGAAAGTAAAATTGTCACTTAAATGTCAACTGCGGCTTTTTGGCTGTATGTTTGTACCAGTTCTTCTCTACGGATGC